GACAAAGAAAGAGGGAACCCTCCCTAAGTGATTTTATGAAGCCATTATCACTCTAATGCCCACGCCAGGAAAGAACATAACCCAAAAAGAAAACTACAGACAGTATCCTTGATGTACATAGATGCTAAAATCCTCAACAAAATACTAGCTAACCAAATCCAACAACATATCAAAAAAATGATCCATCATGATCAAGTAGCTTTCACACCAGGGACGTAGGGATTGTCCAACATATGCAAGCCAAAAAATGTGATACACTACATAAATAGAATCAAAAACAAAAATCCAATTTCCTATTTAATAAATTATGTTGGAACAACTGGCTCGCCATATGCAGAAAACTGAAACTGGATCCCTTCCTTATATCTTATATAAAAATTAACTGAAGATGGATTAAAGACTTAAATGTAAGACCAATAACCATAAAAACCCTAGAAGGAAACCTAGGCAATACCATTCAGAAAATAGGCATGGGAAAAACACCAAAAGCAATGGCAACAAAATTGACAAATGAGAGCTGATTAAAGAACTTCCACACAGCAAAATAAACTATCATCAGAGTGAACAGGAAACCTACAGAATGGGAAAATTTTTTTTGCAATCTATCCATCTGACAAAGGGCTACTATCCAGAATCTACAAAGAACTTAAACAAATTTACATGAAAAAAACAACCGCATCAAAAAGTGAGTGAAGGATATGAACAGACACTTCTCAAAAGAAGACATTTATGCAGCCAACAAACACATGAAACAAAGCTCATCATTACTGGTCATTAGAGAAATGCAAATCAAACTATAATGAGATATCATCTCATGCCAGTTAGAAGGGTGATCATTAAAAAGTCAGGAAACAACAGATGCTGGAGAGGATATGGAGAAATAGAAACACTTTTACCCTGTTGGTGGGAGTGTAAATTAGTTCAACCATTGTGAAAGACAATGTGGTAATTCCTCAAGGATCTAGAATCAGCAATATCATTTGACCCAGCAATCTCATTACTAGGTATATACTGAAAGGATTATAAATCATTCTACTATAAAGACACATGCACAGGTAGGTTTATTGCAGCACTGTTCACAATAGCAAAGACTTGGAATCAACCCAAATGCCTATCAATGATAGACTGGACACAGAAAATGTGGCACATATACATTGTGGAATACTATGTGGCCAAAAGAAGGATGAGTTCATGTCTTTTGCAGAGACGTGGATGAAGGTGGAAACCATCATTATCAGCAAACTAACACAAGAACGGAAAACCAAACACCACATGTTCTCACTCAGAAGTGGGAGATGAACAATAAGAACACATGGACACAGGGAGGGGAACATCACACACCAGGGCCTGTCACAAGTTGGGGGGGCTAGGTGAGGGTTAGCATTAGGAGAAATCCCAATATAGATGACAGGTTGATGGCTGCAGCTAACCACTATGGCACGTGCATACCTACATAATCTGCACATTCTGCACATGTACCCCAGAACTTAAAGTATATTTTTTAAAAATCACATGATCATCTCATTAGTTGCAGGAGAAGCATTCCACAAAATCCAGCATCCCTTCATGATTGAAATGCTCACGAAAATTGGCACAAAGGGGATATACCTTAAAGTAATAAAAGACATCTATCACAAACCCATAATACTGAATGGCGAAAGTTGAAAGCATTCCCCCTGGGAAGTGGAACAAGACAAGGATGCCCACTCTCACCACTCCTCTTCAACATAGTACTGGAAGTCCTATCCAGAGCAATGAAACAAGAGGTAGAAATAAAAGGCATCCCATCAGTAAAGAGAAAGTCAAATTGTCACTGTTTGTTGATGATATAATTGTTTACCTAGAAAACCCTAAAGATTCCTCCAGAAAGCTCCTAGAACTAATAAAAGGATTCAGCAAATTTTCTGGAAACAAGATTAATGTACATAAATCAGTATCTCCTCTATATAGTAACAGCAACCAAATTGAGAATCAAATAAAGAATTCAACCCTTTCACAATCACTTCAAAAAATAAAGATAAAATCCTTAGGAATATACCTAACCAAGGGGGTTAAAGACCTCTATAAGGAAAACTACAAAACACTGCTGAAAGAAATCATAGATGACACAAACAAATGGAAACATATCCCATGCTCATGGAAAGGTAGATTCAATATTCTGGAAATGACCGTACTGCCAAAAGCAATCTACAAATCGAATGCAATTTCCATCAAAGTACCACCATCATTCTTCACAGTATTAGAAAAAACAATTCTAAAATTCATATGGAAGCATATAGCCAAAAAGAATAAATCTGGAGGCATCACATTACCTGATTTCAAACTACACTATAAGGCAATAGTCACCAATACAGCATGGTATCAGTATTAAAATAGGCACATTGACAAATGGAACAAAATGCAGAAATCTGAAATAATCCCAAACACAGCCAACTGCTCTTCAACAAAGCAAACAAAAATATAAAATGGGGAAAGGACACCCTTTTCAACTAGTGGTGCTGGGATAATTGGCTAGCCACATGTAGGAGAATGAAACTGGATCCTCGTTTCTCAACTTATACAAAAATAAACTCAAGATGAATTAAGTACTAAAATCTAAGACCTGAAACTATAAAAGTTCTAGAAGTTAACATTGGAAAAACCCTCTCTAGATATTGGTTTAGCCAAGGATTTCTTGACTAGGAACACAAAAGCAAATGCAAGAAAAACAAAGATAAATAGCTGGAACTTAATTAAACTAAAGAGCTTCTGCACAGCAAAAGGAACAGTCAGCAGAGTAAATAGACAACCCACAGAGTGGGAGAAAATCTTTACAATCCATACATCTGACAAAGGAGTAATATCCAGAATCTACAAGGAACTCAAACAAATTAGTAAGAAAAAAACAATCCCATCAAAAAGTGGGCTAAGGACATGCATAGACAATTCTCAAAAGAAGATATACAAATGGCCAACAAACATATGAAAAAAATGCTCAACATCACTAATTATCAGGGAGATGCAAATTAAAACCACAAATAAATACCACTTACTCCTGCAAGAACGGCCATAATAAAAAAATCAAAAATAGTAGATGTTGGTTGGATGGATGCAATAAACAGAGAACACTTCTGCAGTGCTGGTGGAAATGTCAACTAATGGAAAACAGTGTGGAGATTCCTTAAAGAACTAAAAGCAGAACTACCATTTGATCCAGCAATCCCATTACTGGGTATCTACCCAGAGGAAAAGAAGTCATTATACAAAAAAATACTTGCACACGCATGTTTATAGCACATAATTTGCAATTTTAAAAACATGGAACCAACCGAAATGCCCATCAATCAATGAGTGGATAAAGAAGCTGTGAGATGTATGGGATACTACTCAGCCATAAAAAGGAATGAATTAATAGTTTTTGCAGTGACCTGGATGAGATTGTAGACTATTATTCTAAGTGAAGTAACTGAGGAATGGAAAACCAAACATTGCATGTTCTCACTCATAAGTGGGACCTTAGCTATGATGGCTGCAAAGGCATAAGAATGATACAATGGACTTTGGAGTCTTTGGGCAAAAGGGTAGGAAGCGGATGAGAGATGAAAGACTACAAATAGGGTGCAGTGTATACCACTTGGGTGATGGGTGCACCAAAATCTCACAAATCAACACTAAAGAACTTACTTATCCAACTAAACACCTCCTGTTCCCCAATAACCTATGGAAATAAAAAAAATCTCTATAGGCAAGTTAAAAAACAGTAAAGACAGAAATACCATTGGACTCAGCAATCCCATTACTGGGTATATACCCAAAGGAACATAAATCATTGTATTATTAAAGACACACACATATGTTCCCTCCAGCACTATTTACAATAACAAAGACATGGAATCAGCCTAACTTCTCATCGATGATAGACTGGATAAAGAAAATTTGTTACATATACACCATGGAATACTATGCAGCCATAAAAATTATGAGATCATGTCGTTTGCAGGGACAAGGATGGAGCTGGAGCCCATTATCCTTAGCAGGCTAACACAGGAACAGAAAACCAAATATTGCATATGCTCACTTATAAGTTGGAGCTAAATGATGAGAACACATGGACACGTAGTAGGGAGCAACACACACTGGAGCCTACTGAACAGTGCATGGTATGAGGAGAGAGAGGATCAGGAAAGATAACTAGGGGGTACTATGCTTAATACCTGGGTGATGAAATAATCTTTACAACAAAACCCCAAGACACCAGTTTACCTATGTATCAAACCTGCACATATGCCCCTGAACTTGAAAGTTAAAAAAAAGATTCTTGCATTCTATCTCAGACCTACAGAATCAGAATTTCAAAAATGAGCCATAAGAACCTGCCTGTGTTTTAACAAGCTCTACAATTATTGTGGTACATACTGATGTTTGAAAAGTACTGCCCTTGACACTCTTACTTCAGGCCGTTATAGTGAGTCCACACACTTAAAAATAAGCGTCTTTCCAAGTACTTAAAAGATACAAAATGATAGTGGATCTGAAATGCCGCCTGAATCCCCATGACAACGTGTACGTTGTAAGGCCAAACCAATTAAGAAAAGCTTTGGTGGTCAAGTGCACTTGGGAAGCTGCAGTTTCTAGAACAGTCTGGTAGAGGACAGGCTCTTCAGCCGACTGCTAGGCATTTTTTACTTCTTCCTTCCATTATGAAGACAACCTAACTGAAGATGCGGTTACTGAGGTATGATTTCTCTGCTAGGTCACAAAGTCTGAAAACATGGGCCTTATGTGTATAACTATGTATCATCACTTGCCACCCCCAGTTTCTCCTGGCTCTATCACCCAAAGTTCTGAATGCAGAAGCCCTAGGGCCCCCCCTTCAAGCTGGCATCCCTGGCCTCCCTCGGGGGCTTAGCTACCTGTGGGAACCAATGCAGCAGGGGTGACTCAAAGGGTTAACAATCAGTGGCGCCGCAGAGTGGCAGAGAGTTAAGCCAATAGGGTGTCTAGGCAGGCAGTACGTCTGATGTGGGCGGGAATGAGACAAAGTGTGCTAAAGGAAACCAACAGCGGCCTAGGGGTGAAAGGACAGCCAGGGTTTGATGTTCTCGGGAGGCGGGGGCAACCGAGAGAGCGCGTGGGCAACCGAGAGAGCGCGTGAGCAACCGAGAGAGCGCGTGAGCATTTGTCCTTTTACCCATTTGTCTTTAGCCTTAGTGTTAGGTAGCAGCGGGGATAGCCCAGGGCCGGTGTATGGCCACGGAGTTACAGTGTCCGGACTCCATGCCCTGTCACAACCAGCAAGTAAACTCTGCCTCAACCCCAAGTCCTGAGCAGCTGCGACCTGGCGACCCGATCCCGGACCATGCAGGGGGAAACAGAGCCCCCAGGGCCAAGGTGACTCTCCTCACAGGGCACACCCATTCTAGTCTGCCGGCCGAGCAGGACACCGGGGCCTGTGGCGGCTCCAGCCTCGTCTCAGAGAGCAACAGTGGTAGTGGTGACAGTAGCAGCTATGACGCACCAGCTGGCGACTCTTTCCTAGGGGACTGCGAACTCTCCCGGCAGATCGGGGCGCAGCTTAAGTTGCTGCCTATGAATGATCAGATCCGGGAGCTGCAGACCATCATCCGGGACAAGTAAGCCGAGAGCGGGAGGGGAAAGGGAAGTGGAGAATCTCCTAGGCTGTGGGCGGGGCTAAGAGATAGTGTTACGGGCCTCGGCAAACTTTGGAGATTGGGATAAGACCTTTTATTTGGTGTGCGTGCGTGTGTGTGTGTGTCTCGTGTGACTCAAACGCCCACACTTTCTTTCCTAGTTCCGGTGTTTAACATCACTTTGGTTAGGGAGGAAGACTAGGTAGCCTCTGGGCTCTTTGTCGCTCCCAGCAAAGACAACTCCTTGACCATTCCAGGCAGGTAAACTCCCTATCCTATTTGCCCAGTGATCATCCACGTGGTAAACCTGTAACCCAGAAATGGTTACTACCCAAGGTTATGAACCACCAATCACCTCAGGTTCATAAATAGAAATAAAGCAATTTCAAGGAAGTTCTATTGTGCTCCACAGGCCCTGACCCTTTAGTATTTGCTACTGCAAATAAGGTCTTTTAGTCTTGGAGTTCAGGTTTACTTGGTCACATGAATGCTTATCATCCAACACTTATCAAGATTTTTTAAATTCTAAACTCACTGAACATAGTTACTGGATCAAAGGAAGCCTAAAGGAACCTTTGGCACCTCCTAATCCCACGAACCAGTGTAGCCAGAGCTTCATGTTAAAACGTTATTTTGAAATTTCTAAACCTACGTCGTAAATGGATTTTCTTCAGGGAAGTATGTACCATGATGACCTTCAGCTGTTTCCTTAATTGGGAGCACTTTATTTATTTTTTGTGTGTGCATGTTTTGGTTTTATTATTTACTTGTTAATATATATATTTTTAAAATCTATCATTCTATTTTATTTATTCATTTATTTATATATATTTTTTATTGTACTTTAGATTCTGGGGTACATGTGCAGATCATGCAGGATTGTTGCATAGGTACATACATGGCAATGTGGTTTGCTGCCTCTAACCCCCGTCACCAGTATTTGGCATTTCTCCCCATGTTATCCTTCCCCAACCTCCCTATCCCCCACTGTCCTTCCCCTAGTCCCCCATGACATACCCCAGTGTGTGATGCTCCCCTCCCTGTGTCCATGTGTTCTTATTGTTCAACCCCCGCCTATGAGTGAGAACATGCAGTGTTTGATTTTCTATTCTTGTGTCAGTTTGCTGAGATTGATGGTTTCCAGATTCATCTATGTCCCTACAAAGGACACAAACTCATCCTTTTTTATATCTGCATAGTATTCCATGGTGTATATGTGCCACATTTTCCCTGTCCAGTCTATCACTGATGGGCATTTGGGTTGGTTCCAGGTCTTTGCTATTGTAAACAGTGCTACAGTTAACATACGTGTACATGTGTCTTTATAATAGAATGATTTAAATCCTTTGGATTTCTACCCAGTAATGGGACTGCTGGGTCAAATGGAATTTCGATTTCTAGGTCCTGGAGGAAATGCCACACTGTATTCCACAATGGTTGAACTAGTTTACACTCCCACCAACAGTGTACAAGTGTTTCTATTTCTCCATATCCTCTCCAGCATCTGTTATCTCCAGATTTTTTAATGATTGCCATTCTAACTGGCATGAGATGGTATCTCAATGTAGTTTTGATTTGCCTTTCTCTAATGACCAGTGATGATGACCATTTTCTCATATGCTTGTTGGCCTCATATATGTCTTCTTTTGAAAAGTGTCTGTTCATATCCTTTATCCACTTTTGAATGGGTTGTTTTTTTCTTGTAAATCTGTTTTACTTCTTTGTAGATTCTGGATATTAGCCCTTTGTCAGGTGGGTAGATTGCAAAAAGTTTTTCCCATTCTGTTGGTTGCTGGTTCACTCTAATAATTATTTCTCTTGCTATACAGAAGCTCTGGAGTTTATGTAGATCCCATTTGTCTATTTGGGTTTTTGTTGCCAGTGCTTTTGGTGTTTTAGTCATGAAGTCCTTGCGTATGCCTATGTCCTGAATGGTTTTGCCTAGATTTTCTTCTAGGGTTTTTATGGTGTTGGGTCTTATGTTTAAGTCTTTAATCCATCTGGAGTTAATTTTAGTGTAAGGTGTCAGGAAAGGGTCCGGTTTCTGTTTTCTGCACATGGCTAGCCAGTTATCCCAACACCATTTATTTAACAGGGAATCCTTTTCCCCATTGCTTGTTTTTATCAGGTTTGTCAAAGATCAGATGGTTGTAGATTTGTGGCATTGCCTCTGAGGCCTCTGTTCTATTCCATTGGTCTTTATCTCTGTTTTGGTACCAGTACCATGTTATTTTGATTACTGTAGCCTTGTAGTATAGTTTTAAGTCAAGTAGTGTGATGTCTTCAGCTTTGATCTTTTTGCTTAGGATTGTCTTGGCTATGCAGGCTCTCTTTTGATTCCATATGAAGTTTAAGGTGTTTTTTTCCAGTTCTGTGAAGAGCGTCGTAGGCAGATTGATGGGGATAGTGTTGAATCTATAAATTACCAGGAGCAGTATGGCCATTTTCACAATATTGATTCTTCCAAATCATGACCATGGAATGTTTTTCCATCTATTTGTGTCCTCTCTTATTTCCTTGCGCAGTGGTTCATAGTTCTTGAGAAGTCCCTTTACATCCTTTGTTAGTTGTATGCCTAGGTATTTTATTTTCTTTGTAGCAATTGTGAATGGGAATTTGCTCTTGATTTAGTTCTCTTTTAGTCTGTTATTGGTGTATAGGAATGCTTGTGATTTCTGCACATTGATTTTGTATCCTGAGACTTTGCTGAAGTTGCTTATGAGTTTAAGGAGATTTTGGGCTTAGACAATGGGGTCTTCTAAATATACAATCATGTTGTCTGCAAATAGAGACAATTTGACTTTCTCCTTTCCTACTTGAAAACCCTTTATTTCTTTTTTCTGCCTGATTGCTCTGGCTAGAACTTCCAATATTATATTGAATACGAGTGGTGAGAGAGAGCATCCTTGTCTAGTGCCAGATTTCAAATGGAATGCTTCCAGTTTTTGCACATTTAGTATGATATGGAATGTGGGTTTGCCATGAATAGCTTTTATTGTTTTGAGATATGTTCCATCTATACCTAGTTTATTGAGAGTTTTTAGCATAAACGGCTGTTGAATTTTGTTGAAGGCCTTTTCAGCATCTATCGAGATGATCATGTGGTTTTTGTCTTTGGTTCTGTTTATGTGGTAGATTATGTTTATAAACTTGCATATGTTGAAACAGCCTTGCATCCCCAGGATGAAGCCTATTTGATCATGATGGATAAGCTTTTTTGATGTGCTGTTGCAATTGGTTTGCCAGTATTTTATTGAAGATTTTTACATCTATGTTCATCATGGATATTGGCCTGAAGTTTTCTTTTTTTGTTTAGTCTCTGCCAGCTTTTGATATCAGGATGATGTTGGTCTGATAAAATGATTTGGGAAGCATTCCCTCTTTTTGTAGTGTTTGGAATAGTTTCAGAAGGAATGGTACCAGCTCCTCTTTGTATGTCTGGTAGAATTTGGTTGTGAACCCACCTGGACCTGGGCTTTTTTTGTTTGGTAGACTATTAATTGCTGCTTCACCTTCAGCCCTTGTTATTGGTCTATTCAGCGTTTCAACTTCTTCCTGGTTTAGGCTTGGGAGGGTGCAAGTATCCAGGAATGTATCCATTTCTTCCAGGTTTACTGGTTAATATGCATAGGGTTGTTTGTGGTAATCTCTGGTGGTAGTTTGTATTTCTGTGGAATCTGTGGTGATATCCCCTTTATCATTTTTATTGCATCTATTTGATTCTTCTCTCTTTTCCTTTTTATTAATCTACCTAATGGTCTGTCCATTTATTAATCTTTTCAAGAAACCAGCTTCTATATTTATTGATTTTTTCAAGGGTTTTTGGTGTCTCTATCTCCTTCAGTTCTTCTCTGATCTTAGTTATTTCTTATCTTCTCTAGCTTTTGAGTTTTTTTTTTTTCAATTTTGATGATAGGCTGTCGATTTTAGATCTTTCCTGGCTTCTCATGTGGGCATTTATTGCCATCAATTTTCCTCTAGACACTGCTTTAAATGTGTCCCAGCTATTCTAGTACATTGTGTATTTGTTCTCGTTGGTTTCAAAGAACATCTTTATTTCTGCCTTCATTTCATTGTTTATCCAGTCAACATTCAAGAGCCAGTTGTTCAGTTTCCATGAAATTGTGTGGTTCTGAGTTTGTTTCTTAATCCTAAATTCTAATCGATTGCACTGTGGTCTGAGAGACTGTTTGTTATGATTTCCATTCTTTTGCATTTGCCTAGGAGTGATTTGCTTCCAATTATGTGGTCAATTTTAAAGTAGGTGCAGTATAGTGCTGAGAAGAATGTATATTCTATGGATATGGGGTGGATGGTTCTGTAGATGTCTATTAGGTTTGCTTGGTCCAGATCTGAGTTCCAGTCCTGGATATCCTTGTTAATTTTCTGTCTTGTTGGTCTGTCTAATATTGACAGTGGAGTGTTAAAATCTCCCACTATTATTGTGTGGGAGTCTAAGTCTCTTTGTAGGTCATTAAGAACTTGCTTTATGTATCTGGATGCTCCTGTGTTCGATGCATGTATATTTAGGATAGTTAGCTCTTCTTGTTCCATTGATTCTTTTACCATTATGTAATACCCTTCTTTGTCTCTTTTGACCTTTGTTGGTTTAAAATCTGTTTTATCAGAGACTAGGATTCCAAGTCCTGCTTCTTTTTGCTCTCCGTTTGCTTGGTAAATCTTCCTCCATCCCTTTATTTTCAGCCTGTATGTGTACTTGCACATGAGACGGGTTTCTGAATACAGCATACCGATGGGTTTTCACTTTTTATGTAATTTGCCAGTCTGTGTCTTTTGCTTGGGGCATTTAGCATATTTATGTTTAAGGTTAATATTTTAATGTGTGAATTTGATCCTGCCATTTTGATACTGGCTGGATGTTTTGCCCGTTAGTTGATGCAGCTTCTTTATTGTGTTGATGCTCTTTACCGTTTAGTACATTTTTGGAGTGGCTATTACTGGTTGTTCCTTTCTATGTTTAG